TCTCTTATACACATCTAGATGTGTATAAGAGACAGTTTCTTTCCTGTTTTTTCTTCCTTTTTTTTTTTTTTTTTTTTTTAATTCACATGACTCTTATATTTTTCAAAAGCAATTGAAGCCGGGGACCCCACAATTCCACCCGGTGTTACCCTGGCAGCATCAGCCAGTTTAGCTTACAGTCAATAGACTGAGGATCAGACCTTGCATACTTTCAAAGACAATGAATCGCAGCTCGACTCAAACAAGTACTAAAAGAGGTTACTACCTACCTATGTAAATCACTATATTGAAGTTTATTCTAAACTCTAACTCTTACCTTCAAGAGAAGCTATCCGCTGTACTAACTAGCTAATTAAACCTATCCCTCAATTACTGCACAGGCCTACATCTCACGGCCTGACCCCGGCCTGCTTCGACCGAGCGGAACCCAAGGTTCCTTCTACAGGCCTAGGCACTCTCCTCCCTACCCTACCCTTTGCGGTCTACTGCGGCCGCCGACCGGAACCGAGTGTCCTGGTTCATAATCACAAAGCCACCTGGCCAAGAAAGCAACCAACAAGCCAATCACTGTCTACTTCTGCCACCAGTTAGAGAAGTGCAACCTGCTGCCCTCTGCAATCCACACCACTGCCTCATTCTGTGCCCAGGTACTCCTGAACCATCTCAGACCGTCCCTACCTTTTCCACTCCCTGCTTTCCTCCTCCAGTCGGCCCGGATCTCGTTCTGGAGAAGATTCCGAAATAGAGTTTCTGCATGGGCTTCTGACATGCCCTTTGAAACGTTGATCATTACGGTCTGCCCAAATCACCCACAGCATTACCGCTCTGCAGACCTGGGCCACGTAGCCCCACCCTTTGCTGGGATCCAGTCCCGCTGGCAAAATACCCAGCAACGCCCAGCGTTCTCCAGACAAATCCGACCTCCCTGACCACTTCCTCCGATGTTTGAACCACCAGTCCCACCACTTTCTTGATTTAGGACAAGCCCACCACAGATGGTGCATGGTTTCAAAAAACCAGTCGCATCTGTCACAAGATTCTTTGACTGACATGCCCCTCCTCCTCAACCATCTGGCTACCGGGACCGCTTGATGCGACTGCAGCCACAGAAGAGAGGCCAGTTTTTGTGACGGTAGCCTGGGAAGTTGTGACCATACCCCCTGAAGTTCTTTCTCTCGCGGTGGATCCAGGTGCGGGCATGTTCCTTCCCACTTGTCTACCGTATACTGACTGATAGACCGGTCTCTGTCGTGCTGTTTATGCCCTATTGCTTCATCACCCTTCTCCAGGCCCCACAACTCCTCGTTCCCCACTTTCCATCCCCATGCTGCTTGATCAATGCGCAGGTCTTCGATTGCTGCTCCACTGTCTCTTACTCTCCATCCGGCTTCGACTCCAGGTTCATTCTGAGGCGGACACTCAGCTCTAATGGGTCTAAAGTTCGAGAGGCCATACACAGTGGTCTCTCTGATCTTCGTGAGCTCGGGCAGACCCGGAGTTGATCTTTTAAATACTGCAACCTTACACTTGCCCGGTACCGTTTCATCCCAGTATTCCAATCTGAGGAAATCCTCTTCTGGTCCTGATTGGTCATCGACCTGCCCTCGAAACCAACTGCCAATGTCTGGGACCCAATTACCATCCAGCAACTCGCTCCAGCTGTGTGGAATGGCGTCTATCAGCTGCCGCCTCCTCTCCTGCTGGTTCCCTAGCATTCCCATCGACTCTTTCAGTTTCTCCTCCGACTTCCATTGCCCTGTGATCTGATCCCACAGGCCCCCCACCCTTGATACACCCCTCTGAATCAACTTCATACCAAAGGAACCTGGTCTGGTGTTTGCGCTAAACATTTCCCCGTCTGCTCCCCGAATCTTTGGGTTGTCAAAGAGGTGCTGACGGAGAACCTCTGCCCTATTCGCTGGTTGTGCTGTCCTGTTGGGCTTACACTTTTGCCACGCCAACAGAATGTCCTTCCAAAACTTCGACTTCAGTCTTTTGCAGAGGAACACTTGGATCATGATAGCCACCCACACGACTTCTGGTCGCGACAGCCCCCATGTTCACATAGTAATTCCTCCGCCAACACGCACCAGTCAGTCGGTTGCTCTGCAGTAGCCACTTTTAGAATCCACTTGGACAGCAGTTTCAGGTTCTGAGAGTCTGGGTCTAGGAGCGCCAAGCCCCCTTGTTTCTTTAGGGCACAGAGAGTGTCCCACGCCACCTTGGCAATGTAACCTTTTTCTTCTCCTGAGCCTGGTTTCCAAATGAACCTTCTTGCAGAGGCTCTCACACCTTTGATCAGTGGTTTGGCCAGCCTACTCACTTTCGCCACGTACCACAAGATAGAGAATGCCGAAACTGTTACAGCTAGGACTCTCCCTATTAACGAGAGATGCGGGGCTGAGCCCCAACTGCTTATCCTTTTGGCCACTCTTTCCTGGAGAATGGACGTCTGCGAATCTGTGCAGTCTCCCAAGGCTAGCTGCACCCCCAGATACCTTTCCGCTTTGCCCTCCTGTACTCTCTTCATTCCCCATTCGACCTCGAGGTTGTACTCTGCAGGCAGATAGAAAATTGACTTATTCCTTTTTTTTTTTTTTTTTTTCTGAGGCCGCGC